CACCTCAGTCACACTAGTTTCGATCTTGTTTTCCATTTTTCATCATAATCTGGATTACCCAAAATTATCGTGAACGGTGCCTTTAACTAAACTGAATTCTCACTGAAACGTTGGCTACGACTCTAGTAAGTAAGACAATGTGCCAGAAAAGTCTCAATGACGCTGTTTTATCGAGCGAGTACTCTTCTAGTGAAACACGTGTAATAACGATTCATTAACCTTGAGATCTATTATATAATACATCGTGGCTTCACTGAAAGGACTCTATTTCCGTCGTCCGCGGGCTGCTGTCAAGAACTTTTCACGTTTTTGCAATGTAGTTACCGCTGAATCAGAACCCCACTCTGTGGGCAAGACGAGAAGCAGCACTGATCTTCTCAACCGTCTGAAAAAAATGCACTTCAAATTTCTACACAGTGCTTGAAATTGTTCAATTTAATCGCTGATATTTATTTCTACAATAAATGGCTGGTCAAAATTTATCATAAAATTTTATCGACATCACCATATGGGTTTAAACGTCCTCGTAGAAGAGCGGTTCAAACCCTTTTTCTCATCCCTCTTCTCACAATCAATTATCACGGAAACAGCTACGCTAAGATGTTATAATGATGGATGGGAAACAAAGGCGTAGCAGGGGAGCATACCGATATCTACCACTTCATTCTTTCGAGGTAATAGTTTCTAAGGTGTTCTTTTCAAGTTAAAGAGCGGAAGTCATGTGAAAAATAATGGGAAGTTTCTGATTGTAATGGGCATTGAAAATGGCTTGTTATCACCTTCTACCCGCTCACCCTATTCCTCTGAGCTCAAACCTTGAGGCTACCCTAATACCTAGAGGCCTCACAAAAGGGATTAATTTCAACAAGCGTGAGGAATTCAAATGCGCAATAGACATGTAAGTGAATCGCGTCGCATCCATTTACTTTTGGAGGGATGGAATTATCGGAGTTCTACTCCATCAATGGAAAGACGTCGTATCTGCGGAAGGTGACTACTTTCGTTACTCAACTTACTTAATTGTTGGGGTTAGTCACATTGTGCTGAATAAATGAATTGAATATTCTTAAAACTTTTTCGGGCAGCTGAAAGGTGAGGGCGGGCTGGAAGGTGGAACAACCTTCACAAAGGCTCATTTGGAACATGATTTTCCCATCACTCTTTTAGTAGTAGCAGTCTAGTGGCACTCTGTTTTCCATAAGCGGCGCAAGGGAAATCATAGCCAAGTGCTTAGCCCAATTTGCTTTGAAGATTCATTCATTTTGTAGAAATTTAAACTTCTTGAAAGAGGCCCTCAAGAAGGAGAGAGATTTTCTGGTTCTACACAGTCGTTGTTATTATCACAAGTGGTCAAGTCAGTTTCTTCAAGCAATTCGAAAGGGTTCAAGTCCGGTAATCTGCTCTTCAGCGTGCCTGCTGCTTCTCTCTCTTTACGGTTTATGTCTATTGCAACATTTGCATGTTTCTCCAGTTTCTCCAGTGATGGGCATGCCTACTTCAGCGGTACAGCAAGCTACGTCAGCTGTACTCACTCTTAAATGCCGACTTTTAAGCATTCAGGCAAAATTTGTTGCTTCAGATAATTTCAAAGTCACCTGTTCACTGAGATGTAGATGAATGGATTCAATCCAACGATAAAAGCCCATATGAGATTGCTGAAGAAGTTGAAGAGCAAATCATCTTCTACCGCGTCGCCAACGAACTCCCAGTAGATGAAGCCGGATAAGTACACTAACGAGACAAGAAAGTGCTGAATGGTCAGAATCACCTCCGACCACTTCATAGATCTTTTCTTCTGAAAGAGCTTGCTCATCCTTTCGAAATGTGCAGAGCAATGTTCAGCTTACACTAAATATTACACTTTTGATTCTAATTTTTTTAAGTAGTCGAGTTGCGGAACTAAATAAAATTTTTCATAGCCAGCGTTCTAACCTAATGCCATCACGTTACCTCTAAAAATCTGATGATGAAGATTTTTAGCTGCCTTCAAGCAGAACCTCTCTTACAATGTTAATCTTGTGGTGCTCAAGATAAGGTTTGCTTTTCAAGCCAACCCGACTATATGGAACAGTTCATTGGGTACAAATCAACGGGCAATCTTCGGAGAGTGAACCTTGCTCCATTGCTGACTTTTCGCTTACGCTCTTAAACTTGGATTTGAATGCTGCTGAGACACTAAAAGACATTTTCTAGACTATGAAGCAGAAGCAGTCTCGTAGGCATTTAACAGAGGTGAGCCCCTACTGCTCCTTCTTTAGGCTGGTTGAAAACCAACTTAAAGATGGAGCAATAGGGGCTCATCTCTATTAAATGACTGGGAGTCTTTAGTCGTCAAGACCCCGTCCACTTTCAAAGATGAGTAATTAAACAAAAGCTTGACAATTTTGCCATTCCTCACACTAGAGTATTAATATTTTGTCTGCCTCGTCTGCCTGTCTGTCTGTCTGTCTGTCTGTCTGTCTGTCTGTCTGTCTGTCTGTCT